ATTGAAATGAATGGGATTTGACTTTTGAATAATAGATTGGTTGCTTTTCAAAAAAAAATAATAGATTGGTCACACTGGATTTAGATTGAGGGGACAAAGAAGATGTTACAGCATGTGTTATAGGGTCAAATGCAAAAAATATTTTTAAAATATATTTATAATGTATATCACATTTTTTATATATAAAAAAATTCCAAAATTTTAATTTAATATAAATAAGTTTTTTTTGATAAATTTAAACTCTAAATTGACTAAATTATTCTTACTGAACCATTTTATAAAATATATAAAAATAAATAATTTTGTAAAATAATCGAAAATGACATTATTGGACGATACCCCAATCATCTCAACAAAAAACATCTCTAAAATTTCAATCTGGTGCAAATAGAACCCTTTGACAAATTTATACCCTAAGTTGACTAAATTATCCTTACTGAACCATTTTATAAAATATATAAAAATAAATAATTTTATAAAATGACAAAAAAATGACACTATTGGAGGACACCAGCAATGGATAAGTAAAGATAAAAATATAAAATAAAAATAAAAGTATAAAAAAAAGTAAAGATAAAAAAATATATATATAAAACAAAGATAAAGTAGTGCAAAATAAAGAAAATAAAATTTTTCCTAATTCCGAAAACCAGGGCACACTGATATTGGGATTTTTTTATTTTAATTTGTTTGTCTAACATCGTTGGCATGAAAAAATAAAAAAGTAGAAAAGAGTAAACTGGAATCACAAAAAATTCAAATTCTAGTTCTACAAATTCTCAATGTTTTAAAAAAAATGTTTATAGATATATATAAAGAAAAGTTTCAAAAAAAAAAAATATATATATATATATATATATATATATATATATATATATATATACATACATATATATAAGGTAATGTGCAAAAAACACCCCTATACCATAAAAGGGCAAAACGGGTATTATAACAGTAATTTAAGTCAGAAGGGGATATTTTTGCATAATGTGAAAAGATTAAGGGCGTTTTTTGCATACTTTTTTAAATAGGAATAAAAATATTACGCGAAATATACTTTAAGGGTGTTTTTTGTATTTATCCCTATATATATATATATATATTAGTAAGATCATTTTGATACGAGCCAATTTAGAAAACAATGCATTTCACCATATTTATTTTATATTATTTTTCTCAAAATTTGTTAAAATGAAGAATTTAAACATACAAGGGTTTAATTTTATTTCTCATAAACCATTCAAAGTGATGAATAATTTTATTAAAAACGTCCCTCCCAATTCTTTGTCATCCCAGGAAGGTGGGAACATGATATTTAGTGACACTCTTATCAAACTAATCCGAGCAATCAACACCTTAATGGGCCCAATCAGGCCTACAAACAAAACGTTCTGTTTAAAAAACATGATCATCTTTAATCCCACGAATTTAAATCAAGAAAGCAAACACAAAATACTCAAAATCCTACCGAAATACAAATACTTAAGTAAATATTTATTTTGATGATGTAATACTCATGTAACATAATACAATAAAATGCAACATTACAACGCGTTATGAAAAACAAAAATATTGCGTAGTGTTACAATCCGGGACCTAATTGAGCGAAAAAATGCAGTACACAAAATTGTACTTGAAAATTTCAGGTCCCTTTCTTTTATATTTAGGGCAAGTTAACGTCACTGTCTTAAACAAACCCATATTTGTCTATTATGTTTTTTGTTGTGTATAAGATAGTATCCGCCATTTGAATTAGACAACATATCTGGACCATCTGGTTATGGGAGTGGTATAAAAAATAAAAATAAAAAAAAAAACCTAGTGGTCCTAGCGCTAATCTCTCAACTTTGGTGGCAATATATATTCTCGGCCTTTCTGGCAATATGATCATCATCTCTTGGAATTGTCCAAGACATGATCATGTAATGGGCCAGTCTCATGGATACTATGTCCTCTCCACCATATAAATTACGGTGTTGGATTAGCTTCAACTTTTTTGCTGACACAGGTCAATAGGACAACACCCTGGTGTGACTCAAGTATCTCTTTGTGGGTCTTGATTAAGAGGGCTGCCTTTGAACCGTCGCGACCAGTCCCTGTCTCACATTACCTGCCAAGAGTGGCTCACGGTCGACAAGGGAAAGATCACGGAACTAGACCCACACTTATTTAAAATGCCACGGCATTTTTCCTTTGTATACAGTAAGATACGTCCAATTTTCGAATACTATCATTTTTAATACACAACACACCAGTTGTTGTTGCTAATTAAATATAGGTTGATGCTATTATAACTAAAGAGCATCACCGAATTGGTGCACCGAAGGACTGTCAGCTCTCAAATGCCTTTATTGGGTCCCACGGGCCACTGCAAACATTTGAGAGCTGAGAGTCCTTAAGTGGGATAATTGGAATCTCTTATTTTTCCTAAATAGATAGGCTATTTAATTATAATATTTGATGAAATCTCCACCTATTGTGCAATAACTAATAATTATAACAAAAACTAGGAGGAGTGATCATTTAATTAAACGCCCTAGTACTGAGGAGCCTTAATTAATTAATCTTGTGTTTTCATCCTTCTACTTGTCTCATATATTTCCTATGTGAATTAGTCGTATTTAAGAAACAAATTGAAGTATTCTTACCCAATTATTTGGTCAGAAAGTAGCAAGTCTAGTTGCAGTGGGTATTGACTCAATCTCAAGAGCCTTGAGTTATGAGGTGGGGGCAAAAATGGTTCAGCCAATAAATTAATAAATACTTAGATTTCTTGTCAAATCTTTTCTGACCATTTCTGTCATTTCTTTATTTTGAGGTTGACTTTAAGTCCGGTTCATTCAGAAGTCGTTGGCTGTTGAGGAAATTAAGAACATAGAAATGTTTGATATGTTGAATGAAACAGTCATTAAGCTAACAAGAATCTGCAATCCATCTTAGGTTGTTAAATATAAATAATTTTGAGTAAAATGGAAATATGAAAAGTTTGAAATTTCTGTTGAAAGATCAACCAAATGAAAGGATTTTTTATTTTACTGTGGGAGATGAAGAAGAATGATCTTTATATTAGTATTTTTATAAGGAAAATAATTAGTGCAGTGAAAATTATAATCGATAAATAGTGCAAGTGGAAGGCAAACATGAGTCTCACTTTCATCATCTTTGGTTATAATTTTCACTGTTCATATTAGTAGTACCATCGAATTAATAGTCCGTCGTGCGAGCTTTCTACTGGGTCCTTGCGCCAAAAGCGAGAGAGACCTTATCCTCTCTCTCTTTCTTTTTTGCCCCAATGTCATCAGACGGGAGACATGGGGACGTTAAAAAAAGGGATGCTATCAACTTGTAAATTTCAAATTTTGATTTAAATATTAATTTATTAGATGGCATAAGTTTTTTGACGTATTATCAATATTTTCAGTCTGCTATAACAACTTTTTACCTCTTCCTTTCTTTGGGATTGATTTGTGGCTGTTTAAAGCTATTTTTCTAACTTGAATTAGCTTTATGTTTTCCCTTCTTCAAATTTATTTCTTTTCTTTCAGAGTTGATTGCATTAGTTTGGTATAAGAGCTTTGGTTTTGACTTTTCGACGGCTCATTCATGCCTAATTGACAATAACCGAAAGGAGAAAATCGTAGGATACATGTTTTGACTGAACCCTTCCCCAAACAACATGAAGACGAGATAAAGTTTTTGTAGAGACAAGTTGAGTTTTTGACTCAACTATTGGATCAACATGTCAGATGATGATAATGTTTCGGTGGTGAATGATGATGTGTCAAGCATCGAGAATACTACAGAAAGTTCGTTCTATATTCCGCGTTGCCATAGATCACCTAACAAGCGGACTAATCGACATTAGCTAGTAAATATAAAATTCGAGATTCTGAGTTTCATGAGAGGGAGGCCAATCTTGAAAAGGATTTTTGCAAATCGTTTTTACAGTAACACATCCCCCAAACTAATGCCTATTCTATTTGATGAAAGGTGTTGGGATAGAGAAATTATTCATTGCAACCGTTGTAACATATATCAAATTTTTTTTTTTTTTTTTTGTTTTATTGTAGGTCCATTTTGCTTTGATGAAATATTTATAATCATGTGTTGCACCACGCACTGTTATAATGGTTGCAATAAATAATTTCTTGTTGGGATGGTGACTTTAAGGAGGAAATTCCTGAATTTGCAAAATATCTCAGTGGAGAAGAAGAAAGAAGAAAATGAAGCTAGTTGACTGGAGTAACCCTTCAATTTTTTTTTATGTAGAACTACACATGGAATCATATGAGTCAAGAATATCTATGAATTGAGATGAATTAGCCATGGATAAGGAAGTTACAAAAGAAAAATCTCAAAATGAAGAATACGTCGTTGATGATGAAGCTTTTGGATCCACTGGGATAAAAAATAATGAATGTCACTTTTATGACATGATTTGAGGTGAATTTTTGGAGCGTACTACAATTGCTAGGTGCTTGTTGAAAGAAAAAGTAAAGTTAATTACACTTGTAGTTCAAGATATGTGTTACCTCAAGTTTTGCAAATCTATCCAATTTCGAAGAATATCTATAAAAATTCATATTTATTATGTATTCTTTATTAGTATAAAAAGATTAAAAGATTAAAGAATTTGATACGAGTTTGAAAAAGAAAAAAGAAGGGATGAAAAGTCATGCTCGGATTTTTAATTGACCGTGAAAAATTGCTCCAAATTCAGTGGCCAGTTCTTTCCAACCGGGAACTCATACAGACAAAATTTCTATTTTCCTGCATTGAATTATATATTTTTTAAGAAACTTTTCATATTCTTAAATTTTTCTTACTTTGTGTAATTTTCTGATTTATATATCAATATCATGGTAGTACAAACAAAAAATGAGTCGGAACTATGAACCAAACACAACAATTATTAAGAGAGATTTATGATAACTGTAACTTGTATTACTTTCACCCTGTATATACATCAAGTTGAAACTAAAAGAAAGAAACATTGATAGTGGGTTAAGAAAAAAAAAAAAAAAAAGACTTTAAGAAAATAAAAAAACCAACCATTGCATAGACGAAGTAGAGACAGGACATTTATATAGAGATGGTACCCATCTCAAGAGTGACTTTTCCTCCCCCCTTTTTTGTTTTTTTTTAATCCATTTTTTCCTTTTGTCTTACATCACAACTTACTAAGACATTGAAGTAGGCGTACGCCTAGGGCGCACCTTTGCCTTGAGCGGTTTCGCCATCTCACTCGAGAGCTTTAAAACCTCCGAGAGGTCCACGCCACTCCGGTCCGACGGTCCCCACTCGAATTCGTGTAACAGCGACGCCACCCAAAAGCTCACCGTGGTCAACCCCAAAGCCTTCCCGGGGCAAGTCCTCCTACCCGACCCGAACGGTGCCAGTCTCATATCCGACCCGAACACTGAAAGCTCCACTTCTTGCCCTTCCATATTCAGGAATCTCTCGGGCTTAAATGCCAGTGGGTCAGCCCACACCTCTGGGTCCCGCATGATGGCCCACATATTCACCATTGCCGTGGTCCCACTCGGCACTTGGTACCCATCAACCTTCGTGTCAGTAATGGCTAACCGGGCCCACGACAGTAGTGGGCCCGGCGGGTGTAACCTCAGAACCTCCTTCACCACCGCTGGTAGATACACCATCGCCGATATATCAGATTCCGTTACCGCACGTGATCTCCCAACAACCTTGTCTAATTCATCGTGAACCCTCGATTGAACATCAGGATGAAGAACCATCCTCGCTAGTACCCACTCGATCAGAACCGCCACCGTGTCAGTTCCTCTGAATATCATTTCCTGTAACACCATATACAACGAATTAATAACATTTCCATAAACAATTTAATTAGTATAAACCGTACGTACGTGTTGTACGTGTTATACATACGACGCATATGCTGTATGTATATACAACATCAATTTAAATATATAAAAATATATACATATATTGTTACGTGTGTTTAAGTGAAATATTATAATATATATTTTTTGCTGCTTACCCAAAGAACGGCGATCATATCAGACTCTGATAATTTGTCGGGACCTTCAAGGGAGAGCAAAACGTCGACAAAATCCCGGTTTATGTTGTTGGATTGGAGTCGGTGTTGGGAAATGATTTGACCCACGAACCGGTTCACTTTGGGGACGAGTTCGGAGCATCTGAAGCGGATTTTTTGTGGGTCAAAATCAGCTACGCATGGAAGGTGGTCGGACCAGTTGAGTGTGCCCAAAAGCTCGTACCCTTCGTCTACTAGCTTCCTCAGCTCATCAGTTTCGTAATTACAAGAATCAAGTCTGTATTTTCGACCGAAAACAGAGCACATCATGTTGTTGAGAGAGGCCCGTTTCAGTGCGTCGCGAACACTTATGTACCCTCTGTGGTCCCCGAACATTTCCACCATCTGAGTCGCGATGTCAAACCTCTGTGACTCGGACGCTCTGATTTGCTTCGGACAAAACAGATGTGTGGCTGCGATTCTTCGAAGGGTTCGCCAGTAAACACCGTAAGGAGCGAACCCAATTGCTCTGTTGAACATTAGGCTGTAAGCTGATTCCTTCACCGGACGATCAGCAAACACAGAGCTATTCAAGATCTCTTTCGCTACATCTGGATTACACGTAATAATAACTCTCGTCTCACCAAGACTGAATGCCATTAAACGCTTTGCTCGGCATATTTGGGCCGCGGCAGCAATCCGGTGGTGCGCGAGACCACTCATCAGCCCCATGCTCCCTATCACAGGTACACCTCTCGGACCCGGAATAGGATTACCCTTAGAAGCCGACACCAAACCTTTCCTGAACCTATACTTGCCCCAAGCTGGACCACCTGGGTGAGCCCAGTGAAGCAAGCTCATCACTACCCAAACCAAACCCACAACAAACCCGAACCACAAAACGTTTAACGAAGTGAAAGCTTTGCATTTTGAAGCTAAAGCAAATACCCAGAAGCACTCTATCTGTGTTGTCATAGCGGGAATATGAGAATTAATATTGGACGCTCACACACACCCACACGATCGACTAATGAGAGACAGAGGCTATTGCTTTTGGCGCAAAAACAAAGCTAGACGCATGCTTGGTATATATAGGGCCGGAAGAACAACTGAGATAAAAAAATAACCGTTATACCCGCAAGTAGGACCGTATAACTGAAAATTATTTATATATACACTCCTGTAGTCCTATGTATAGTATGTATATGTGTGTGTGTGTGTGTGTATATATATATATATATTACAGTAGATGGTGATATATGAAATTTAGTGGAGATTTAGAGCTAGCCCGCCGCCACGAAGGCATGAGGAAAGTGGAAGCACTAGGAACAGTGAGCGGAGCGTGAGCGTGAGCGTGACGATCCAATTAAAGGAGTTTGCGTGCTCTAGCTCTTTCCTAGAAGGACATATCTTATTTATGCTTATTATGTCGCGGACCCTCTTGAGGGCAAGAATAGTTTTCTTCCTGTCAAGATCTATTGAGGTCATGTAATGTCGGCACTGTTAGTCATGAGGTGTGTTTGGTAATACAAGTTGAATCACGCTCTTACATTATAATTGTAAGAAATCTTGTTTGATTCAATGATCTATGTCATCATGCTTCACTTAAAATAGTTGATCTGTTAGGTGATATAGAAAAGTTTCGAGATAGACTAGAAGTGTTTAGTTATTATTAGTGAAAGTTACTGAAATTATTTTAATTATGAATACAATCAATTTGAATAATAGTCCTATTAAAACATAACATTATAATATCAATATTCTCATGAATAATAAGATATGACATGAATCATTTCAGAAAACATAATAATGATCTCTTCCGGATAGCTCACTTAATTTATCTTTCATACTAAGATTTAAGAATAAACATTTGATAGTTCTTCAACCAGTTAAGTGATGAAGTAAAGTTGAGCTTTCAAGTTCATTAGTTAAAATTTCTCAGTTGGTTCCGAGAAAAAACTTATGTAATTTTTTCCTTTTAAGTTGCATTCAAGATAAGCTTACATTAATAATAACTTTGGTTTTGGTTGTTTAAGTTATTATTCATGTCATTATACAAAGTTTCCTCGCAAGGTTGATCGTTCCTCCAGAAATAAAGATAGAATCAATCTACGAGGATGTCTAAGATAGGTCACGGATTGCTGACTTAGGAAAACAATATAGATAAAAGTTTGTTAACTAGGACTTTGCTTCTTGACATCCCTATCCAAAATAAGATTCTAATTTTTTGAATCAGCAATGTACAAATTGCTAATTCAAGAAAATAATATAGATGAAATTTTGGTGGGATTTACTTTTTAAAACCTATTAAATTTTCATCCCAAATATAGTGGAATACATTTTCAGCATAGATCAGCAGGATAGGATCACTTACGTCAAGGTAACTTGGAGTTGAGATTGATGTTATTTATAAATAAGGAAGGTTTCTATCTAACCACAGTATCCACTAACAGCACTTCCAGAAATTTCATTTACGGTGGGAGCGTGACCTTTAGACAAGTCGAGTGGCGCGTGATCCCGACACATCCCCACGACAAAATTAACATGGAGCAGTAATTTTTAGCGAAAGGTCAATGACACGTCAGCGTAGTGTGGCTTGAAGTTGTCGGGGTCAGAAGGAGAGGTTGCACATGACACCCATGCAACTCAGTGGCTCACATACACCGTCTGTAGGCCGTCTGTAAAGTGTGGCGGGTCAGAATAAAATACAAATCGCGATCTTTTGTGAACGGTCGCTGTTAGAACGCCACGTATCGATAACATGCACGGTCTATGTAGATGATGGTGACAACTCGTACTGCCCGCGCACCAAAGCCTCTGCCCCTCATAAAAGCAGAATTTGTACACGCGGCGTCAACTTGGGGTGAAAAATAGAATGACAGCAATATATACACGGATCCCTAGTCATCGTTGAATTTATTAAAATGCCCTTCGACTGGTCCTGATTATTTGTTTCTTCCTTGGGTGGTATCGTCATTTGAATAATCCGACAATGGACATGATATGATCAGCTTCAATGTTTGGCGTGAACAAAAATCTGAATTCGGGGACCCACCTGTGTCTATTTCCGTTGATTCACTGTACGGCTGTCGTTTGACGTTGGAAGGATGAGTAATCCCTGTCCGTTGATCTTTTGATGAGTAAGCTTCCAGGTGCTCAAATGGATACAAATATATGGGTCTGAGTATTATATACCATCAGTCCTGTAACGGAAAAGCTTAGGACCAAACAAAACCTAGACTAGAACGAGACTTGGGTCAGTACACCTCTCTTTACCAAAATATATATATATATATTACAATTTTTTAGTTTTAACTTTTAACAGCTAATCATGAATGGCTGCTAAATAGATGAGGTTTAATTCTTTAGTATTCAGCGTAGTACTATTATAATGGAGCCTTAATCATCAACTGACCAAGTCTTTCGAATTTATTTAATTGGTCAAACAACCTCAGATATGGATAGAATAGGTATTTAGAATGTATAGCTTTAAACTAGACAAACTCAAATAAGGTGGTGATTAAGGATTTGTTCTAGTTTAAAATTGGTTTTAAAAAAAAAAGGTTTATTTTGAAAAATTAGTTAGAGAAAAAAATGAAAGATTCAAATTCAAAGAATTAGGTTCATATACCTTTCCAATCTCCAGGAAAATCATAAATACTTGGTGTTACCTGCAGTGTGGAGTGAAATAATCTTGAAATTCATTAGAATTTTTGGGATTGTCCAATTCACCATGAGTGAGACCTCATATAATAATATAATTATTTATTTATTTTTTAAATCTGATTGACTATTCCATATGATTAGGCATATGATTAGGTAAGTGTCTTGGAAGTTAAGCAAGCTTTGCACTCCTAATACTCACAGATTAAAGAACCTTAAACGTTGCAAATTTTTAATTACTAAAACAAATTTTTTTTCAAGCACTAATGAGGTGTGTTGTTTTTCATATCTCTCACATGCCCTTTAAATATAATATAGTGAAGACCATATATAAGCAAAGCAAATCAAATATACCCATCGTTGTGTTGTTACCTTCCTGGGTAATGCCATACAACTTCCATGAAACTTCGCCATGGGGTGTCATCAATTAACTTTAGTTCCGGGATTATCATAATTCTCGCAATAAAATCCAACGAAGTCATGACTTATTGTACGTCTAGTCCTTAATGGAGACATTATCACAATAGGAATCTTTCAAAGATATTCCTTTCTTTTGGGCCTCGGAGAATAACACAGACAAAATGTCATGAATGGGTACTGAAATAAGCTTTGAAAATAAATATAATTATTTAATAAAGTTGAGGAAGTCAAGCTTGTTTATTTAAATATAATGTTCAATGCACTCACTGTGCAAAATAATGACAAATGTTAAATTTATATTTAAGAAATGATCGTTTTACTATCTTACCATTACGTGACATAATCAGAATTGTACTTACACTTTCATTTATTATTCATCATAAACACGAGCATGACCATTGACCATGAACATGATTATAAGAATTATTTGAACCGCCAGAAAGCCAAACTAAAATACTAACATATTATATTTTGAGTTACCTTTGAGGAGCCATTTTTGACCCGCAGAGCCTCATTTTCGATCTAAATCAAATCATCGATTAATAGTCACTAGATTTGCTTATTAACTATGTCACTTTTCGACCCAATTTCGTCATTCAAGCCTCCATATTTGAGTTTTTAGTACCATCATTGAAAATTTTCAAAATTTTTATTAGTAGTTAAATCAACTCAGATTAAGCTGATTTTTTAGTTAGTTTTTTTATTTTATTTTTTTTCAAATTTGCTCAATTTAGGAGTCTTTAGGATACCTTTATACGTACTAAAGAATATTCATGAGTAACATGTTAGTATGCTAAATAATAATAATAATAATATTGTTTTTCTTGGCAAGTTGTGAATGCAAATTGCTTCAGCGTACTATCAATTTAGCTCCTTTGGGCAAAATACTTACAAGGAGGTCCTGTATGAAATATCTACTAGTATATTAAAGAAAGATTAATATTGTAATAAAGAGGGACCTTAAATATGAATGTGATTAGCCTAATCTTGAAAAGTAAATGCGGATTTAGAAACTCTTTATATTATAGTGCGCAAGTTATTGCCTAACCCACTTGTTTTAAACAACTCAACCGATTCGATGCCATGATCTGATCGTTCATGAGAGAGAAATTCCGTTCTGACTGGTTGTTCTTGGTGGGGGGTGGGGGAGCTCTAAATATTCTTTATATATATATATATTTCTCTTTCTTTTTCAAAATTTGAATCTTTGAATGATTTGGTGAAGAAGAAAAAGTTGAGAGTCCGTGGTCCTTTGAGAAGCTCCCTTTATCGGGTTCTTTGGCATGCACAACTTGGTTTCCCTTTCTCGGCCACTTGTGCTTTGACTGAATGTAGATTGTATAGCTTCCAAAATATATATATGATGATGGTCTTGAAAAAGAAGAGTTTGATCTGTCCTTTTTTGTGGCAAGAAAGATTTGATCTAGTACTATCTCTAGATATTGTTTTAAAATTTGTCCAAAATGTTAGAGGAGATATTTAAAAACTTTGTAATTTTAAAATGTTGCAGACATTGTTAATATGGGAGAAGAAATTAGATAGGGTTTATGGTAAAATTAAGACAAATTTTCATAAGTTTTATTTTTCATTAATATCTGTTTGTCCATGTCTTAAGGACGATGCTGGCTTAATAATTAATAATTCTTCAATATTTGTTGGAAAAAAAATGGTAACTATTTTCATTAAAAATATCTGTTTGTCCAAGTGCGGTGCTAGCCTAGTTGTAGAGCGTGTATTGTTTACCCGTGTTCGAAATTCACCGGTACTAATTATTTCCCCTCAACAATAAATGAACACCTCTCTATATTCAAAATATCCTCTCTTGTTTCTCTAACATCTTAATTTGAGATTGTGTTTTAGATTGTGTTTTAGAGCGTATAAAATCTTTTGTGATTCTGTTAAATATGATAAATCACTAAAAGGGTGAACCTAAATGGTAATTTTGTTGTAGTGCATCTTTTCGTGTGTGGAGGGAGTACTTTTTGGTTATGTTGAGGGCATACCAAAGTGAGACCATACAGATAAACAACAAAAGCAAAATATCCAACCAAGCTAATATTCTCTTCTCCTTATCAAAGATTTGATTCGAGACATAAAATGGTTTCAATAATTTTATTTGTCTTCCACAACTTTGCATTTCCTCTCTATAATGTTTCTTTTTTCTTTCAATTTTTGTATTAAAAATGATTGGTTTCTAAGTGACAAACTGGTCACAGTTCTAAATATTCACCAAAATACAGCATATGCCTCCTAGCCTCTTCTTACGCATGCTTCTAAATATAGGGGGGTATTGATTGGCTTTTATCAATATATTAAAGTGATTCTATTTTTATCATACTTTTCTTTATTATGATAATTATCCCACCCAACCCAACCCAACCCAACCCCTGGTTTTGATTGCTTGATTAAGATTTGAAGCCTAAATCAAATCTTGTTTCAAATTTATGATGGGTAATGATAAGGAGACGGATAGAATGGTGAACAAATTCGACTATTATTATATGAGTAGAAATTGATGTCGCAGAAGATATTAATGACATCATAATAATATCAGACTCCTCTCAAAGATATCAATCAGATTCAGATTCTCCTACTTTCTAATTCCAAATTTCTTCACTTATACATCATTCACAATTTTTAGGAATGCTAACTAAATTGACACTACAAGCTAGATGAACCGTGTTTAGTGATGTAGATGACTTGCTTTGAATTGCTTGACCACAAAAATAAAAATAAAAGTGACAAGAATACAATTTCTCTTTTATTTTTTGTGAGTAAAGAAGACAAAAAAATCTTTTCAATTTGCACCCAAATTTCTTTTTCAATAATGTTTTGATATAGCTTTGGGGCCATCATTTTTTTTTTTTTGATTGAGGATACAAATTGAACGGGCTCTGAAAAGAGATGTTAGCAAACAAATGACCCTACATTTTAACACTTTATATTACAAAAATAAAATAATAATTTACTTAAAATTAAAATCTAATATTTAGCTATGTTGATGATGTTTTTTTATTTGAATATTTGACCCCGGACACCCCGGACACCATTTACATAGAATTAAAAGCAACCTTATCAATATTGGTGTGCCTATCTACAGTTCTGGTATGGACATAAATGCTGCTACTGTGTCTTCCATTTTAGCAAACAACTATACATACATATTGTGACAAGAATTTATAATATTATATGCTAAGCATATGGAAATTAGCTGGACAGATTACTAGTTGACTGGGGAGTCAAGTGAAAACAACAATTATGGTCAACCTGGAATTAGTCACTTTAGCTTATTTTAATGAAAAGTTTGTTTAAATGCTTTAGTCTTGATGGTAGGTAATCGGCAGTTGCATCTTTCCACATTATCTTACCGGGCGGGCGGGCGGGGGATAATTTAATCAAATTAAAAAAGATGTGTCCCGTCATTAATTGATGTTTTAATTTCAAACACTTCAAATAAAAAAATTTGTACGAATATAAATCTGGATCTTCTCATTTGATATTATTTGATAATGGCATGTGTAAAGACTATATCTAGCTGTGGTAGATATAGACCAATTCAATACTGAAAACTGCACCAGTCAAATGGAGAAATGGCAGCCTTCAAATGGTCGGTTGTTAGGGAGAAGACAGGTAGGCAGGGTGGTTTGACCGCAATGAAAGTGTTGTGAATTCGGGTAAGAGATAATGTTAGAGGGGTCGTGTCCTACATTAGATTCCGATGGAGAAAGTATTGATAGAAGGGAAAGTAAACAGTTTTACCAAATAACTTGAGCTTTTGAATCGAATGATAAACATTTGGCCTAGTATTGCGAGTTCAAATCAAAATGAATATTATATTTAAATTTTGAATTGAACGGCAAACACTCTATCCATTACACTTCCAGGGATACGAATCTCCCGTGATTACAGAGCTTGCGATGCAATAATCTTGACCATTTGAAGGCTGCCATTTCTCCATTTGACTAGTGCAATTTTCAGTATTGAATTGGTCTATATCTACCACAGCTAGATATAGTCTTTACACATGCCATTATCAAATAATATCAAATGAGAAGATCCAGTTTTATATTCTTACAAATTTTTTTATTTAAAATGTTTGAAATTAAAACATCAAATAACGACTCAAACACCTCTCGGGTGAATACTTAGCATGACACCAAATTAAGAATTGAACATGTTCTGATACTACTTATATATAACAGGTCAAATGTTTAAAATCCGATTCAAAAACTTAAGTTGTTGGATAAAATTGTTTACCCGTTCTTATAGGACCAAAGCCCTCATCATCCGGATCTAATGTGAAACAAGAACCTGTTATCGAAGGGGCGTGTTTTCAGCCACCTTATCATTTTCCTTTTCTTATCATTTTCGTTTAAATTTACTGACTAAAATATTGTTCTAATTGATAACATGGCGATTATATAAGAGGAGATCTACAACTGATGGAAGTCCTATCTACCCATGCATTGTAACAGCTTCATTCTACTCATCTTCCCACAATTTGGTCAAGTGGATGAACCTGGCACTGTGTCTATGTACAATGGTTTAAATGCAGGAGGATTGCATCTCACTCACAAAAACACTGACAACAAGGTTTCAATTAAGGAATGTATTATGTAAATGCATGCACGTATTCATTGTACATATGTGTAACTACTTGATGGTGTTTTTGAACTATTTCTATTAGCTTCAATATAATAATATTTGTCACACCAATATCTTGAACTTGCATAATAAATAAGTAGTGTAGATTGTAAGTGAGATATAAATATAAATTGCAAAATTAGGCTCGTGGTAGCAAAATTTAGGGGAACTTCCACAGGCTTCTATAGCAGAGAGGATTTAGATTGATTGTATATACTCACAGATGCACTTTCATCATGTTTCAAAGAGCCAACTTTGGGTTTATGCTCAAATTTGCATGTCAAGAGGAGCAACTTTTTTCTATTTGATTAGCGAAATGGGTTGTTTCATCACTTGACAACGTTACAAAAATTGTTTACCTTTCAAAAAAAAAAAAAAAAAATGCAAAATTGTTTAATCAACGAATGTATAACTTATGCGAACGGTTTGGTTTCCTTCCGGCCGTCCGTAATCATGATTTTCTAGGAGGCCCATATTGTGTACGAGGTCACATTAACCTAGAAAATGGACAATCAAACACAATCCATTGATGCAGTAAAAGTTATCATTGGGCAAACATTTAACGAGTGACTACGACAGCATTTTCCGGAAACGCTAAGAAGCCTTTCTCCGCCTTTAGTATAAATAAAATCAGTTGAAAACTAATGGATGAGAAAACGATGATGAAGGCCTTTTCTAATTAATATTAAGAATATAACTTAATAATGTTAATGACGCAAAATATACAATAAAAGTTAGCACCTATTCGTAGATCCAGCAATCTCGGTCAAAATAAAGTAAAAACAAAATGTTTTTTTCCCCAGGACGAGGTAATTTTTACAACTATATGAAAGTTATAAACGGGTTAAATAAGTGTTAGTTAATGATCAAAATCTGAAGCCCCTGCTTGTACTTTTTTCATACTTCACATTTCACTGTTCTAAACGTTGTACAGAGTTCTGGTTGGTCATAAAACTAGCCCGTTCGGAGACCCCTATAATCAATCCATCAACATCAACTGGAAGTAGTAGTTTTCGCCACCTACATCCTATAGAGATGAGCTCTGATGGCTGAACAATCGTCACAAGATTATCATTTCTGCGGAATTTTCCAATTACGCTAACACAGCTTCCTTCTTTTATGTACCTGTTAAAACTCATGAAAACTACAGCTTATTAGATTCTAAGTAAATTTGTTATAACAGATGAAACAGATGAAAGATATAAGATTCTAAGTAAATTTGTTACCCTTCTTCCAGACGCAATAGACGAGCTTCAGCTGAGAGGTTTCTGTCTCCTAACCATTTCCTCAAGTGAGCAGATAGAGTTCTGCATTCTCCTGTAGTATTAACGAGTCTGCTCTCAACGATCAGGGGAATAACTTTACAATCAGGACCAGCTTTCACTAGAGCTCTGATACCAGACTTTCCATCTGTGAGGTAAAAGTCTGTGGAGAATCTCTGCCAGGGAAAAAAACCCTTATACATCAGCATTAACCACCTTCAGAGATATTGGTTATCAGAAGTTCTTGTCACAGTATATTCAACTTTGATCCAATATATGACAACATACAAGGCACTTCATAGGGAAAAAAAAAAAAGATTTAACATTACATCAGCACTTAAAGGATACCCGTCTGTTATCCAGTTCAGCACTCAGACTTTGCTAATCCTGTCTATCCTTTCTCGCATGCCCAGGAGGAAGACCAACAGCGAGTGTGGTCTGCACCTCAATATAGTGGATGAGGTTACATAATGGCCTATTACAGGGGCCATGACTGAGTTGCCTAGCGTTATGTTACATAAAAACACTTTTTTATCCTAGGTAAAAAAAAATCAATTCAACAAGGTCTCCACACTATTGACGACTGGTCTAATGCTTCCTAACCCATATTCTGCTCTACCTAAAACTATAACTTCAACCACATTTAGGGGTGGCAAATTATCCCATCTTGGCAGTTACCCACCCGATTGGGACAGGAGTGGTATAATCGGGGATGGAGTGAGGGGATAAAACTCTGTGCCAGTGTGGGGCAGGGTCAGGCACTCCAGCCCTACCTCGTTTATAATGCATAATTACTAAAACAGTCCTATATATTCCTAAAGATACTAAAATTATATCCCATAAACTAAACCACCAAAACCCTAATATCGTTGTCCCCTTACCATCTCATAAACTAACACCATTTCTATTGTTTCGAAGAAAAAAAAAATTCTAAATGGGGCGGCGCGGGTGGGCACGGAGATGGGGTATGGGGTCTTTTGCTAAACAATTTTGGGTGGGGATGAGTCTACTTTGTAAAACGGGGACGGAGACGGGAAAGGGGACCTTGCCCTAAACCCACTCGTTGACATCCCTAATCACATTCTATCATATTTTACCTTACTGGCTTAACTTATAGTGATTTCTCCCCTTCCCCTTACCTTTAACATGAACAGCATCATTCTTCCTCACTGATGTAGTTTCTGTCTTCACTACACATGGCCAAACTCTATTAATTGATGTTTGCTCATATAATTTCCAAATGGTGTTATTTCAACCATTTCATGATTGTAATCATTTCTTGTTCTACCCCTTCTCGTCTTACCACGAATCTTCTCAACATGTGTGTTCCCACCATGCTCATTTTACGAACATATTATTCCGACATTCTAAAGCATGAAGTATGGCTAATCTAATAATTGTTTGATAGAATTTACCTTTTAATTTTAGGGATATAAATTGTTTGAACAATATGGCATGCTTTCATTTACAACATAAGACTTTAATTATACAAGTAACATCAAACATGGAACACAATGCCCCTCCCTAGCTCATTTTTCAGGAACCCCACGGAGTTGATGCGTACTGTTTACTCGAACATTCTCAATAATACTCATAGGAGACCTGGCAAAGATTTTGCACTAACTATTAGCTACTTCAAAAGATAAGATACTAAGCATGACACAGGCAAACTTTAGGAAACAAAAGAATATTAAAAATTATGTATCGGCAACCTCATATCCTTGAGTTTAGATATTTGATAAATCTGATGCATTGACATATACAAGCCTAACAGACATAACCAAATCCATGCAACATAGGCCTAGCCTGATAATGCATGTTTGAATATGATAGCAACCACTTCATGTAGATAACATTAAAGGTTAGGCCTGTATCTAGTTCACAGCTCCCAGTACTCTCGATTAAAGATTAATAACACCAGGTAATAACTTTTTTAGTCTCTGTACATATTGGTTAGTGACCTATAGATAGAACCAAAGTTTTCATTGTTGAAGTCCATATGTCAAAATAAGTTTGCTATCACTTAATTTTCTTCAAGATATGGAGAATCAGTTAACTAATGTCAGCAGCATGTACAACAAAACGCAGAGCAGTATTCATGTTGGCTTGCTGAAACTGAGTAGTTGTGAAGCAATTGTTCATGACCATGACATATGTAAAGTAGGAAGAGTAAAAAGTAGACAATGAAGTGCAAATAATAACTGACAGATTTAAGGCAGAAATAAATAGTAGGCTGGGGCAACACAAAAGAAGCAAGAGAATTGGAACGGATGGATAGCAGGGGAAAACCTTGGGTTGAAACTACTTGAAACTGAAAGTTTGTCTAAATTCACAAAGATTTTTGGGGCTCAAATCCCCAGCTTTCACAATACAAAGGTGTAAATTTCAATTTCGAAAAATAAAATAAACAAGTAAAACTAAATAGTACATACCGTATAAATTCCTCAAAGTTGTCATCAGTCGCCAAAGAAATTCAACCTCCAAACTACCAAATTTCTCTTCATATCCACCTTATACCTCTTACTAACCTCATTTCAAGGTCTATAATCTGCCCACTTTATGGCATACCAAACTGATGGTAAATGAAGCAATAAAACAAATTTACAATGAGAGGAACAATACAACTGAAGGGGAAAAGAAGTAAGGCCAGGCATAGAGGTAATGCCAATTGGGAACCTCGTGAACGAGCCAACAAGATCAAATGGCAGGTAAAAAGTATTGCAGCAGCAGAAAAGAGTGAGTTTGTGTTGAAAGCGTTGCAACAACAAGACAAAGGCAAAGTAAAGAATGCAGGGTAAGGTTGAGGTAAGTCATGATAGCGTCAGATTCCTGTTATAGTGGAATGGATAAAGATGATTTATATAGCCAATTTCAAGCGGTTACAGAATGGTTCAAGAGCTGAGGTTTTAGAATCCAAGTGAAAGTTATTCCATGAAAGAAGAAACAACTTAGGTATTACACGAATTATGACAAGTATTTGTATAAACTTACATAAAATTAGAGTAGAGACTAAAGAATAAAGAAACAAATTGACATCAGCCTTAAGTATCAAACAAAATGAACAATGCAACCAATCTTATTAAAAGTGTACAGAATGTGATCCACAACCAACGTATGGACTACCATTCATTTGCTTCAATAGAAAAAATAGCATACCTCAGAATATGTTACTCTCCACTGGAAGCATGATATATTAACATCTGCAGGCCTCAAACCAAGTTTTCCAGATTCGTACAACAGAGTAGATGTGTAAACACATCCGGTGGCCTTCTCATATGAAGATTGTAGGGAGACATTCCCACACGAGACAAGCTGAAATCATCAGAAAAGCAAATCGCAATTGGCCCACCATCAACCATAAGGTACTTATTAGCTAGCACGTGCAGTAATGCAGTGCTCAAAAATTACAGACGAAGATAAAATAATAATAATAATAATAATAATAATAATAATAAAGACATACACATGAGAGCAAGCAGGACCAAATGGTTCTCATGGGATCATTTGTATTTTCAGAGAAATACAAGTGACTGCACAAACAGGCTTGTACTTGTATAGTTGTATTTTTTAGCTTAAGCATGTATGGAAGTCATTACAAGTTTCTGCGCCAAGTATCTTCTGGATAAGGAAAACTAATGCCGTGCTCTATTTCACAAATATCTAACAATGAAACGTGGCCAGGCCAATCAAGTCCAAGTTGTCAGTCATCTTGTTTAAAGCAAGACTTCTTCACTCCTTTGTTTTTTTTTCCTTAGTTGGTACTCACACACACATGCCTCCTTGGAGGCTTGAACCCTTGACCTCTCTTTGGGAAATAAGGGTCCGATACCGCTAGGTCACTGGCCTTCTGGAAACTTCTTCACTCCTTTAAGTTAACCGGACCAATAAGGGAGAGGGGGAAAGAAATTGCCCACTAGTTATTATGCACCAAAAAGGAAGGGAAAGAAATAAGAGAAAACAGCAAGCATCATTTTATTTAAGCATTTTCATTTCTTCTCACATTTTCAGGAAAAAACAAGTAGAATCACTTGTTTCAAGTAGAATGTTAATTATGGGCAATGTGCTTTTTTCTTTTGGAGGATAATGTTAATTATAGGAACCAATATTTCCCACCAATTTACTTCAAGAATGATATGAAATTTCCAATTAGGGCAAAACGCAGAACGTTAAATTGCAGGGACCAAAATCAGTATAAGGTGCAGAATAATCATACTATTGCATTCATGGGTACTGAAAAAAAAAAAAAAAAAATCATAGCACAAGATAACCAAAAGTTTGATCAAGCCAAATAAGCTTCAGTGACACCATAGGTTTCAACACACAAGATAAGTCCTCCCCGGGTAAGGTTGGTTCCATCCAGAGCCAACCATATTCCTCATACTTTTCTACTTGGAAAAACCTATGTGTACGCGAGTGACAAGGAATTTCAACTCTATAATCTCATCTATTATGTGTTTAAAGAAGGGTGTTCTTTACTCTCTCTTTTTCCCAAATGTGTAGCGAAACGATACAACAAACCCTAGGAATGGAATCAAAATACATAATAGAAAGAGAGAGAAGAGTGAGATTACCCCAGTGATCTTGACGAGCTGGCCATCACGAGCTAAGCGAATGTCGGAATCGGGGAATGAGTGAAGGAAGAGGAGCAAGGAACCGTTTCGTCTCCAGTTGAGCGCGTTCCAGAGCAAAAAGGCAGTGACGAGAGCAGAGAGAAAGAGGAGAGAGACGAAGAAGAAGGCGTTGTGGACCACAACGAGGATGAAAATGGAGACTCCAAGGCCAATAAAGAATAGAGAGACGAGCACGTAGATTGCTGTGTTTGGGATTGGTTTGCAGCTGTACCAATGGCGGTGATGGTGGTTCTCTCTCAGATTAGGGGGTTTGGACAGGTCGTTCATCCCTCTTTCTCTCTTCTGTGCCCTTCACTTCACTGCCCCAAAAAATACTTTTTTTCTTTTCCCCCAAACAACTTTAAATACATAAATGTGTGAGTTTACAACTTTGTCCAAAATACACCCTTTTTTTTTCTTCTTTTTCTTTTTTATTTTTTTTTTGAAAAAAAAAATAATAAATTCATAAATTATACGGTCACATACGGTCCCCTCTCACATTCCCATGCGATAAAACGCGGGAAAAAAAACACTCAAGGCTTAGAAAATAAAGAAAAGAGAAATGAGAGATAACCTAATTGTATTTGATTTAGAAATTATGATAAAATGCAAAAAAATCTCAATGGTTAGAAAATACAGAAAAGAGAAATGAGAGATAACCTAGTCGTATTTGACTTAGAAAAAGGTGAAATGCAAAGAATTCATCAACTATCACTGTTTTGAAGGAAATAAAAATACATATATAATAGATAAACAAACTACATAAAATATTAATTTCCAAACTACATAAAATATTTGTAATGTCTTCTCTACCGTGTATGTTCCCAATAATAAAAGTTTGTCATTTGTATTAAACATTATTAATATCGTGACTTTTTACAGTTGTGGGTGTTCAATTTTTTTTTTTTTTTTTTTTTTTTTTTTTTTCTCTTTGCACAACCATTGTGTTACTCACCCAATTATAATTCTCCTTAGCATGTGACTTAACCATTTATGATTGCAAAAAAAAAAAAATCTGGATTCTATCCATTAAACTTGTTGAAATTTATTTAAGTAAACGTCTCATTTTTTTAAGTGTTAGAAATTAGATTAATAGATGTATAGATTAAAACCTGACACTCCAAATGAGTATTAAGTATCAACTCAAAATGTGGAGAATATTTAAATGTCTCATTTTAATTAGTCTCACTATTATATTAATGCTATTTTTATTTATTTATTTATTTATTTTCTTTCGGAATCAATACTAATATGGAATGACCAACAAATGTAGGTTAACTTTTCCATATTCCCAACCCTTTTTTCCTTTTATTAAAGAAAAAAAAAATCACTTTACCTCATAATATAAACTACAATTAATTTATATTCGTAAATTTTGAGATTTTACCATCTCTTTCCCTTGCCCGCCCCCTCGCACGGGGGGCGGGGGGGATTAATTGTTTTGCTTAAAAAAAATTTCCCTGTTATTTCTTTAGTCTTTTAAGAACAAATAGAGGATAAGTGGAATGGTTTCTTTTTTTCCCTGATTATGCACATATAACTGTCTCAAACTAATTTTAAAAATAAAATAAAAAAAAAATTATTTTCATAACTCATTCACATCAATAAATTGTTTCCCCATAAATCAATCAACTTTTTATGTTATCTTTGAAATAAATATATGTGTATATATAGAGAGAGATAATAATATCAATGAGAGAAAATGGAAAAGCTTTCAGCGAGAGAGAGAGAGAGAATGAAAAAGAGAGAATTTTGTTTCATTCAAATGTTGTTCACGAGTAGCATATAGCCATAGCCTTTTATAGGCTCAAATTTTAGCTTCTTCTGTACGCCACCAAGGGTGTCTTCCCAAGTAAGTTTCAAAATGTGATCATATTTAAGGACCCCACACATTTAGATATACATAACACTCCCCCTTAGGGTCCACAAAACTACACTAAGAATATACCTCGTTAAAACATTGCTAAGGAAAACCCAGTGGGACAAAACCCTAGTGAAGGGAAAATAGTACAGTATTCTTGTGTATCTGAAAATGGTATTGCATAGATTAAAAACTACCTCATTAAAACCTTACCAGGAAGACCCAGTGAGACAAAACCTGGACGAAAGAAAAAAGAGTACATCATGCTAATACCTCTTTGATCAATTGTTCCCCCTCATTAGTTTAACCCTGAAGATCTTTTAGTTGACGCATTCCAATGTTGTACACCAGCTTCTTAAATGTTGTAGTTGGAATCGTTTTAGTGAATAGATCTGCTAAATTTTTACATGAACGTATCTTTTGAATATCAATATCACCCTTTTTTCTGGAGTTCATGTGCATAAAAGAATTTTGGTGAGATGTGCTTGGTCCTGTCATTTTTAATATACCCTTCTTTCATCTATACAATGCATGCCGCATTATCTTCATAAAATACTGTTGGGCTATCTTTTATTGATGAGAGACCACATGTTGTTCTAATATGTTGGATCATTGATCTCAACCAAAAGCATTCCCTATTTGCCTCATGAATTGTGAGTATTTCAGAATAATTTGAAGAAGTGGCAATCATTGTCTATTTCATAGATCGCCATGATATAGCTGTGTCGCCACAGGTAAACACATATCCTGTTTGTGAATAGGCTTTATGTGGGTCAGAGAGATAGCCGGCATCTGCGTATCCAACTAATTGAGAACTTGATACTTTTGAATAAAACAATCACATATTAGTTGTGCCACGAAGATATCGTAATATGTGTTTGATTCCATTCCAATGTCTGCGAGTTGGTGCAGAACTATACCGTGCTAATAAATTGACTGGACAAATTATATCAGGTCTTGTGCAATTTGCAAGATATAAAAAAGCACCAATTGCACTGAAATAGGGCACTTCAGGATTAAGGAGTTATTCATCATCCTCTCAATGATGAAAATGATCTTTCTTGATGTCAAGTGATCGGATAACCATTGGAGAGCTCAATGGATAGGCTTTATCCATATGAAAACATTTTAGAATCTTTTATGTATATGTTGATTGATGGATGAGAATACTGCTCGAAAAATGTTCAACCTGTAGCTCAAGACAGAATTTTGTCTTTTCGAGATCCTTCATTTCGAATTATTTCTTTAAATAAGTGGTCGTCTTTTCGATCTTATCCAATATTCCCATAAGATTCAGATCGTCAACATATACTCCAACAATAACAAAACCAGATTCTGATTTGTTAATAAAAATGCATGGACAAATATGATTGTTCACATACCCTTCTTTAAGTAAGTAATCGCTAAGGCGATTGTACCACATTCATCCAGATTGCTTCAATCCATATAAAATCGCTGTAATTTTATCAAGTACATATTACGTGGTTTTGTTTCAGGCATTTTAAATCCTTCTGGGATTTTCATATAAATATCACTATCTAATGATCCATATAAATATGTTATAACCATGTCCATTAGATGTATATGTAATCTTTCTGTGACTGCCAAATGTATTATGAATCTAAATGTGGGTGCATCTATTACAGGGGAGTACGTTTCCTTATAATCAATACCAAGTCTCTGTAAGAAATCTTAAGCTACCAGTCGGGCTTTGTATCTCACGATTTCATTTTTCTCATTACGCTTTCGTACAAATACCCATTTGTACCCTAACAGGATTAACACCCTTAGGTGTCTGGACTACTGGTCCAAATACTTCACGTTTAGCTAATGAATTTAGCTCTATTTGTATCACTTACTTCCATTTTGGCCAATCATTTCTTCGTCGACATTCTTCGACGTTTTGAGATTCCGGATCCTCATTATCAATATCAAGAGCAATGACATATGAGAATGTGTTGTCGACAATAATTTCATTTCTATTCCATCTCATTTCATAATTTAGTGAGATCTCATCATTTTCAGGTACCTATGCCTTATCAAGAGCCATATCATCATCTGTTGCCTTTGTCTCATCAATATTTATTATTTTATCATTTTTAGGTACCTGAGACTCATCAAGAGGCTTTGCCTTATCAAGGGCTATTAACTCAAATTGATCAATAATATCTATTAGTCTTTTTGTGGCCTCTTCAAGAGTGCCAGCTTTTCTTTGTGATTTCCTTTTACTAGGAATAATATCTTTTGCACCAACTGGTCTATCACGCTCCAGGCGTGTTTTAGATGCATTTGCTGCATTACTGACAGAAGGTCCCTCAAGGACAGCAATTCGTGCTGGTACATTTGCAGTTGGTATATGCGATTTTATTACTTTCTTTGTATCAGTAAATGCATTAGGTAATTGATTTGCAATATTTTGCAAGTGAACGATCCTCTGAACTTCTTGTTCACATTGATTTGTACGAGGATCAAAATGAGACAATTCCAGGGCATTCCAAGTAAGATCACGTTGCTGTTGTGCCTTTTCTTCTCCTAATGGTGGGAAAACAGTCTCATCAAAATGACAGTCAGCAAATCGTGCTTTAAAGACATCACCTGTCAAGGTTTCAAGATATCTAATAATAGATGGAGAATCAAAACCAACATAAATTCCAAGTCTACGTTGAGGACCCATTTTAGTGCCTTGTGGTGGTGCAATTGGAACATAAACAGCACAACCAAAAACTAGTATGTGAGAAATATTTGGTTGTTGACCAAAAACAAGTTACAATGGTGAGTACTTATGATAAGCAGTTGGTCGTATACGAACTAATCATGCAGCATGTAATATGGCATGTCCCCAAACTGATACAGGTAATTTTGTCGCATAAGCAAAGGATGACCAATTAACTGAAGTCTTTTAATAAAAGATTCAGCCATACCATTTTGAGTATGAATGTGTGCAACATGATGTTCAACATTAATTCCAACGGACATGCAAAAATCCTCAAAAGTTTAAGAAGAAAATTAAGCGACATTATCAAGACGGATTGTCTTAATTGGGTAATCAAAAAAATGTGCCCGTAATTTAACGATTTGAGTAAGTAGTCTAGCAAATGCAACATTATGAGTAGAAAGCAGACAAACATATGACCATCGTGTTGGGGCATCAATTAAGACCATAAAATAGCGAAATGGTCCACAAGGTGGATGAATTGGCCCACATATATCCCTGTGAATTCGTTGTAAAAATATGGGAGACTCAACAATGACTTTTAAAGGGGATGGTCTGATAATCAACTTACCTTGTGAGCAGGCGGTGCATAGATGATTATTTGGTAAGATGATTTTTTGATCCTTTAGTAGGTGTCTATGTGAATTTTCAATAATTCGACGCATTATTGTACTCCCCGGGTGACCAAGTCGATCATGCCAAAGTATAAAAGTTTTGGGTCACACAATTTTTTATGTATGACAACATTTGACTCAATTGTCCTAATGGT